TTTGGCTCTCCCCCCCCCCGGGGGGGGAGGGGGGGGGGGGGGGGGGCGCACAAGGAGTTGGGAGGGGACAGAGCTGGGACAGAGCTGGGACAGCTGACCCCAACGGACCAAAGGGATATTCCAGACCATATGACATCATGCTTAGCATATAAAGCTGGGGGAAGAAGGAAAGGGGCACATTCAGTGTGGTTCCGTTTGTCTTCCCAAGTAAGCATTACACGTGATGGAGCCCTGCTTTCCTGGAGATAGCTGAACACCTGCCTGCCGATGGGAAGTGGTGAATTAATTCCTTGTTTTGCTTTGTCTGTGTGTGTGCCTTTTGCTTTACCTATTAAACTGTCTTTATCTCAACCCATGAGTTTTCTCACATTTACTCTTCCAATTCTCTCCCCCATCCCACTGGGGGGTGGGGAGTGAGTGAGTGGCTGTGTGGGGCTGAGTTGCCGGCTGCAGTTAAAACATGACACACACTTACTGACACCCCCTGCAAATGTCGATTATTATAAAAGCAAAAGGAACATAGACAACTTGGAATAAATTAAACACCAAGTACAGACAGTAAAAAAAGGAAAAATGGAGAAAAAACATTAAGAGTTACTTCCTCCCAGCGTGCTATCCAAAAGTATTCAATTCATTAAAACGCTGTATGCCTGTATTCCCAGATTATCTGGTACAGTTAGATTGGGATTATCCCACCTGAAATTTTAGCTCCACCTATCTCAACATTCCTCCTTTCACTGCAGTGGGTTAGGTATCAGACATCTCAGCTGATTGTTAAGAACATATGGACATTAAAAAAAAAAAAAAAAAAGCTTCGCACACTGGCAATAGGAGATACTACTTGGGCAGGGTATGTGAGCAGCCAGGCTCCCGTACCCTGCCCGGAGGTTGCTGGATTAGGGATGTTAGAGTGTACATCCCTGTCTGTTCCTATTCCTGTTTATGGACCTGGTGTTCATAAACTTGTCTAACCCCCTTTGGACCTGCTAATCTTGCCTGTCTTCACAACATCCTGTGGCAGTACAACTCAGAAGATCATTACCTGTCTTTCTGAAGAAGTACTGTCTTCCATCTTTTTTCATGTCATCTCCTACCAATTTCATTGAGTATCCCTAATTCTTGCGCTGTTGTATTCTGTGAACAACAGTTTACCCTCCACCATGACTTCATAAGTCTTGGTCATGTCCCTTCCCACCACCACTTTTCTCCTCTTCAAGGTGAAGCTCCCCATGTCCTCAATCTCTCTCCTAAATAAACGACTCTATGCTGTTAAACATTTTAGTTGCTCTACGCCATACCTTCTCTAACTACTACACCCTTTGGGGGAGATCAGATATCCACACAGTAACTCAAGATAGGTCAGCACTGAAGTGACCTGCCAGAACTTAAAGAGTATGGCAAATTGAGTACATTTGCATTCCCCAAAACAACCTCTCAAAACTAAAACACAACAGAGCTTAGACATTAATGGGCAGTACAAAACCCCTTTCAGTAATTGTGGTGTTCTGTGCTAGCTCAGAACTTTAACCAATACTCAGGTTATTTGTCAGGAAAAAGTAATAATTGACTTCACATTGTTTACTTCTCTTCTCTTCCCAAGACATTAAAAGTCATTTATCCTACTGCAAATAATATTCTTCTTAAAGTAGAGAGATAACCTATAGGACAAATTCTATACCATCCTCCATCCTCACAGCTGAGACTACAGAAAATTTCTAACCTCTGATAATTTTTCAGTTGCTGTACCAGCCTCTGGAGTGCAAGTTAAAATAGATTTCAGCCTCCAATGACTTATGCCTGCAAATTAACCTGGAATAAAGTTACCCCAAAATCAATGGACTGTAAAGATAGCTTAAAGCTAGTTTTGTACCAACTACGAATGTAGGCTGCGCTTTACATTTCCTGAACACAAAGAAGAATATTCTCCCAAGTTTCAAATGCTGGCCTGAAAACACTTCCTTGTAATGCATTTTATTGCGTTAACATTTTACTTGTCTAAATACCAAATATATTACAAAATATATTTCTCCTTTAAATAAGAATTTTCTCCTGAGCCATCCATCACCTTTTCAGGTTGGCTGGTTCTACAGTAAATTTACCATTTGGAATGTTTGCCATACTACATCAGACCCTGATGCCAAACAGATGGGGACAGAAATGCAATGTACGCTCTTGTCCAGCTGGGCAAATAGCAACAACTGAGTATCAAAAGGGAAAGGCATTCAGGCAATATACCACATTAATAGGAAGGACTTTAAAGAGCTAGTGCTGAAGAAGGAGAAAAATAAAGGAGTGAGAGAAAATAGGACTAAAAATAAAACTGAAAAAGATAATATGAAAGAGAAATACCAGAGGTTTTTAGGGGAGTGGGAAGATTGACACAAAGAGTAACATTCAATGAACAAAAAATTCCATTAAAGACAAAAATTCATATAAAAATATGAGAACAAGTAATCACAGAAAATAAAGGATCAAGAATTTAGTTTCCATCTCACTTTTTGACAATATACATGTAAAATATTTTAAAAGAATTATAAAAGTAAACCTTCATGCTTTTTCATAATAAGCTTATAACTAGAGCTGTGGTATTATATCCTCTTAGTAAGATTATAACATGACTGCTGGATTAACAAACAGGAAAATCTGGATTGTAAGAAAGAAGTATTTTTCAGACATAAATCTTTTACAATAATAAGGCAAGCTGAGAAAGACTGGTGAAGTAAATTGATTTTTTTTTGTCCCCCCATAAGCATTCTTCTCTTGTGGATTCAGCAAAAATCTCCATTGAAACACCATATATTTGTTTCAGCCTTTGTTAGGTTTTCAGTCTCTCAAATTTTTTCCAGCTTCTCCCTGTGAAAAGGCTTTTCTGGCTGTTGCTGACTGCCTCATTTGTGGCAGCTGTAAGCTTTAGCCAGATAGCATACAAAAAGAGTGCTTTTTACTGCTCCTTTAAGAATACAAATACACTCCCTCCTTATTTCACCTTTATGATGTTTTTGAGTTGGCCTGAGGCATTTTAACAGTAATCAAAATGAGAGCAGCAGGTAAGAAAATCAGTTCAGTGTTGTTTAAGCATTCATACACAATTTTAAACTTACAAAGGACAAAAATCCGTCATTTCAATTTTACTCTACAAAGCAAGAAAGGGTAGGTTAGCTAAAAGAATGTGCAAAGAGAACATGCAAGCAGATAAACCTGTGAAAACCTTCTGTCATGGAAGACCAACAGCTATTAAAGCTGCAAAAGGGATAAGATGGTGCCCTTTAGATATACCCATGTTCCCTTCTGAAGATTTTTGTTGGAGGTTTACAGAGAACACTCCAAACAGCAGTAACATAAAAGAATAGTGTACAAGACTTATAACAACTCAAGTGAATGATAATAGTGTAAAACATTACAAGCACCTGATTATGCAGTTGAATTCTGTTATGGGCTCTACTTCTTCCCTGGGAAGGCCATAATGGCTGTGCGTGGATGTTGAAAACAAAGGGTGTGGGGAAGCAGGCGTGAAGAACAGCTGCTAGAAACCTACTTAAACATTTAGGCAGATACAGCTGGTACTTTGGGTGGCGTGAAGGGAATCCATATTAACAAAACACTTCAGATTAAGAGGAATAAAAGGGCTCTATCTTGTGATTTTTTTGATCATAGCACTAGGACTTTGGATTGCTCTCACTGGCTGCATGACTTCAGTTGTCACTGACAAACGGAGAAATCCAGTATTCTACAAGTTTTTTCTCTCCTATTCTTCAGTGAATAAGAAGCTAAAGATGCATTAAAAGGGCATCAAAACAGAAATCTGAAATTCAGAATGCTACACTACTGTAAACATTCAAAATGTTGCAGTTGCAATATATTAACACCATATCTACAAGGCCAATATTAACATAACTACATAACCAAAACCACTGGTCTGAGATAAGCTGAAACTGAATGGTGACAAAATGCCAAGATTATCCAGATTCTATTGACATAGAGAAGAAAGAGGACCATTTTCTTCCCTATAACTTGACATTTCTGCTACAGTTTTCGTAACTGTTGGCAAAAGAAGAATGGAAGAGCTGACTCTGACTTTTCTTTGGACTTACAGATTTCTAATGTATGAAGAGATGTCCACGAATCTTTCAGTGAACAGTGAAAGCCATTTTTTCATTTATAGTTTCCCTTGAATGTCAGATTTTCTGCTGCTGAATGCACTTCTCAAAGCATAACAAAGTTCTGTAATCCCCCCAAATTATCTTATTACTTGGAATAGTGGCCACAGACCACAAAGTAATGTCAGCTGTATCTCAGCCCATCTGCAAAGCAGATCTTGCCAGTATTTATCCTCAGTGACAAGAGATTTAAATATTCCCTGCAGTCTCCAGACAGTTTGTCTGTGGCCTCTTTATTCGACTGTGAGACCACATTTCATAAGAATTTCTTAGTTCAAAGTTCAAAATCACAAATAACTGAAGATAGATTCTTGCTCAAAAAATGTTGACTTGTTTTGAATTTTTCGGTCACACACTGTTGACTCCTGCTTTTTTCTGCTTCTTTTGTTGGTCACCATGACTGGTAAGGAATAGGAGACGGGGCATCAATAACTGTTCCCTTCATCAGATGGAATACAGCATACTTCTTTGGTTTGAGCTTAGCAGGTTTTAAATAAATCATATCAATAAAAGTGCAGCTTTGCATGTCACATAGATTTGGGGCAATATTCAATAATTTCTGAAGCATTTCACATACCTGCAACATCTGTGATAATATTCATTAGTTTCTACGAGCTTCTGGAAGAATAAAGGAGCAAAAACCAGTGCCAATAGCACTAGTTTACCTTGTGAGGAGGATAAAGCAGCAAATGCAGTTTATGACACCTTGATTTTCAGTATCTCTTTAGTATCTCATCACCCAACACATACGAAGTATTTTTCCTAATTCTCTTCCTTCTAGGAGTTACTCACGTGTAAACTTTGAGAACAAAATCCTTCTCTTCTTTTATTTCAGAGATTGACTGAAGTACATCCATGATGCTCAATACTGCACAGCCATAGGGGCGGCGATAGTGTAAATGAGGGGGGCCTTTTTTTGAATCATTTAGCAACATGCGACCTAAAATTAACAGAAATTTAAATCATTAGAGATTCACATACAGCCATTCTGTCTATTCTGTTCTATTATCCCTCTGAGTATGCATACCTACAGTAAGTTTCAACCACAGCTTGCAGACTTTCCTATACTTCTGTATTGGGTCTGGCTGAGATGGAGTTCGTTTTCCCCACAGTGGCCCTCATAGTACTGCGCTCTGTATTGGTAGCTAGAGAAGTGTTGATAACACACCAGTTTTGGCTACTGCTGTGCAGCGCTGGTGCAGCGTTGAGGCTGTCTCTCCAACATTCCCCCCACCTCACTCAGTAGGCTGGGGGTGGGCAAGATCTTGGGAAGGGACATAGCCAGGACAGCCAGCCCAAACTGACCAAAGGGACATTCCATACCAGATGGTGTCTGCTCAGCAATAAAAGCTAAGAGAAAGGAGGAGGAGAGGGGGCATTTGTTATGACAACATTTGTCTTCCGGAGCAACTGCTATGCGTACTGAAGCCCTACTTCCCGGGAAGCGGCCAGACATTGCCTGCTGATGGGAATTAGAGAATAAATCTTTTGTTTTCCTTTGCTTCCACATGCAGCCTCTGCTTTTGCTTTACTAAACTGCCTTTATCTTGACCCATGAGGCTGCTTCCATCTTGTTTTCTCCCTCACCCTGTCCTGCTGAGGAGGGCAGTGATCGAGCAGCTTGGTGAGAACCTGGCATCCAGCCAGGGTCAACCCACCACAACTTCTCACTCTTTTTTCTTCTTACACCGTTTCAAATCCAGAGGTCTATTTGAACCCACCCGACCCACTGGGCTACTCTGATTAAGGCACATTCACCTCATTTAATTAACAGAATGCCCAAGGGCAAAGTGAACAGCATCATGTCTGGCCATCTTTGATTTGCAGATCCACGACACATATTTGCACCTAGCTGGGCTGACTACAAATCATCTGTTGAATGAGCCGAGAATACGGCTTGTACTTGCCTCTCTGCATCCACACAGACATTCACTGTGGTCCTTCCATTGTAGTCCAATATTTACACAAATTTTCACTTTATACAATTGCTTTAAGAGAATGTATTTTATGTTGTGTCATTTATTATGTTTGTCTTGGAGCGCATAAAGGAGAATTCTGAGGTACAAAGCTGCTCAATGATTAAGTTCCTATTGTTCAAGCAGTTTTTTAATAGTGTAAAAAATGCCAAAACCAGAAAAATCACTATGATAATCTAAGCCAACTTGTAATATTACACATGATAATTTGTCCAGCACTTCTTGCATCAAGGTTAAAAATCTGAGTTTGAACTACAGCATATCTTTCTATAAGCTTCATTTGTCATCTCAAGCAACACAGAGTAATTCTAACTTTTAGACACTTTATGACACAGTGAAGTCAGATAATGAGAAACTGATCCTTGTAACACATTTGTGACTTAGAAGGCGTATTGTCATTCACAGGACAACACAACACAGCTATGGTTTCACTAAGCTGTTTAGACCTTCTGTACTTCAGAAAAGGTATGTGACTGGTAATGGATGCTAGTAGTGAACGGGCTGGAAATAGGGTTAAACACCCTTTCACTGTAAACACTGCCATTTTTTAGTTAACTGAAAACCCGAAAAAACATGAAAGACAGTGCACTACTCAGTTGTTTAGAATAATACAACTGAAGAGACTGTTATTCCTACTATATGTTGTTAACGTTTTAGGCCTAAATATTTGAAATAAGTTATACTTAACATAGGTAAAATATTCACTTGCTAAATTCTCAGCGAAAGTACACACATTCATCATTTAGAAGCATTTAACTCCCTCTTACTAATTATATCCTTTTTAACTGGAACTTTTTTCTAACCAACACCTTCCATCTAAAAGAGATTCCAGCTATTTAATGCACGTACTAGAATTCACATAGTCACTTCACTTAAACACACTGCTGGACTAAAAAATTCATCTAGCTGTCCATGAACTACTTTGAACACTGCGCTATACTGTATAAGATACATTCTAAATTCAACTTCGATCATAAATACTTTCCATTCTCACTGCTGCAAATCTAAAAAAGAATAAATGAAGCCTACCCTGGCCTACAAATAGTCAGAGAAACCCACTCTATAAAAGGTGACTAGTCAACTGAACTAGCGTGGAAGGGCCTTCTCCCTTGGGTAGGGTCAGATCTAGGCACTACGCATCCAGATCTCTCCTTTGGATAGCTCTATGCGAGCAGCCCAGAGAACCGGGAAAGAAGTGTGTGCTGCTAAATGCTGGGCTGCAAGCTTGACAGGCGGCCAGCAGGCAGGTACTGCTGTTGATGCTCCTTCTTGGCGTCAGCAGGTAGAACAAACACCCGACTGGTGTGACAGCTTCCCTGCTCTTATGTTTTATAGGCATCTCCCTAAACTTAAGTGTGGCTTCTTGGGAGCACTGCAGACTCCTACAGCAGAAAACAGATCTTTACATATGTTTGTTTAAGTCTCTGATTTACTAGATGTGAATGGCCAGGTATACCAATGTCCTGCCCTGTAAACTAGCTATATATCATCAGTAAGAAGATTTGAAATTTTAGAACAGTAAACAAAAAGCCTTTTTAGTTCCCCCCTCCTACCCTAAATGTGGTGTTTAATCAAGTATTTTGTTTCAGGCTGAGAAAAAAAATAATTAAAAAAAAATCACTGTTAAACAGTCATCAGTAACCTTATAATACTTAGCTACATGTGGTCTGAATATTAATCTCAGCAGATAACAATGGTCTATGACTGAGTTTTCTACCTGGTTAAATCATGATGTCAGTTAATTAAAACATATATTTAAAAATACTGTAAAAACATTGTTAATTATATATCTTTTAAGCATTAAATCATACTGTACCTATTCGAATTACATGGGCAACTATGTACAAATCTCTCTTCATGTCCTTGCTGCTGAGATCCTAAAAGATTGGAAAAAATATAGACATTAAAAAAAGAACACACTGCACTTCCAAAATTAAGTGCCTACAAAGCTCCCATGAACAAGGACCACTCAGTATTACTCTCCATACATTTACCTCCTCCACCTTTCAATAAGAGAAAGTATTATTATTTCTAATTTACAGACAAGAAAAATAAAGTATAGAAGGATTATATTTAGTTGGAATGTTCTTTAAAATGAAATTAAAGATTCTGACTCCACTGACTAGCGATGCTGTATCAAAATTCTGGCAAACGTTTAAAATGTTCATTTAATCTTAATTCAAACACATTATTTGACTGCATTAAATTTACATAGTAAATTTAAACCCCTGAGTTACCTTAACTGCAACCTATTCTGGCTTCCTTCACCCCAGCCCCTGACTGCAGGACCCAGACCTGTCCCTAACCCTGTTCTTTTGCTTCTGCTTTCCTTTTTTGGTTTTTGACTTCTCATTGTGTAGTCTTAGTCTCAAATGATGACTCTAGAAAAAAATATGCAGCATGACTGTCAGAATTTAGATATAACTTCAAGTGTGTTTTGAACTAATCTCCGTTTTATGGGTGGATAGGTGCAGTTCCTCAAAACAAGCAAAAGTCTGAAAAGGATAAAAAGTAGACGACTCAGAAACATGGTTTATTTTAATGTTTTTCAATGTGCAGCGTTAACCCTGTTTCATGTGATATATGTTGATTACATTACAAAAGCAGCAAGGCAGTGTCTCAACCATGCATAGAACCTACAGGTGCTACCTGTATGAGTTGATGGGAGCCAAGGGCAGCTAGTTCATAGCTGACCTTCTTAAAAGTCCAAAAGCAGGGTAGGCTGCATGCAGACTGCTGACTGGAAATGCTCTCTGCCCCATTCTAACTGCTGAAACACGCCAAGGCATTATTTGCGGATCATGGTAGCTGAAAAGAGCCACATTTGGCTAAAAACATTCTAATGGTTTAGTGACATAGATGGCCACTCTCATATTTAGTACATTCCAAACAGTGATAGGGTATTGGAAAAACTAAGAAATAAACTCAGTTTTAAGATGAGGTAATCACTTAGCAAAACACAGGACCTTAAGATCTCCCAAAAGTTATTGTTATGGCAAGCAACTACACGCATGGATGAAAACTCTGAAATTCCATGTCACAGAATAGCAGGTCAAAACTTTTAAAAATGAGCTTGAAGAAAAGCCAAAAAATGGGAAAGGGAGAACCTACAGAAGCATAAAAGGAAAGCTGAAGCTAATGAAAACAAAAAAGTATTATTGACCCTAACAAAACTTTAATAATAAAGAAAATAAATTAAGAAAATATGCATAGACTACTTTTCAATATTCATTACTGCAGCATTTTGCATTCACATGTTAGAAGCTGTCTTAATTGCAATTTCTTTGGCATGTTGTATTTTTTTTTCTGATAACATTATAAACAAAGCAAAATTCTAAGATGTGTCCCCCCCCCCTTTTTTTTTTACTCAGAGGAAAGATCTAAGAAACATTTCTTCCTAAAAACATTAGCATTGTTCAACAAGTTCTCCTTATGTTACCAACCTCCAAGACAAGATTTTAAACAGGTAATATGTACTGTGAGAATATTGATTTGTGGTTTAGACTCTGATGCAAAAAGGCTCCTTGTGCTCTACAGCAACAGCTGTTGCCTCTCTTTCTCCACTCTGCAAAGTGCTACCATCTTATTGTTATGTACTGATTTATGCCATACAGCCTCCAAATTCTCCCCAAACGTAAAGGGCATCGCTCCAGCCATTTCTCAGGAGAAGAGCAACTGGAAACGCCAAATGATTCATGTATTGTTCCTAAGACCGTGGGAGAGCGAGTGAAGTGTGTATGCACGTGAAAGAGAAACATCCAAAAAGAAGGTTTTAAGCTCAGTTACTGTTGTTCACTTTACTCCTCCCCTTACACTGAAGCAATTGACATCACCTCACGTCATTCTAAAACTTTTTTTTTTGTTGGTTTGCACAAAATGTTTTCAACATAAGGCTTTTTAAAAACAGCTCTAGGGCTCTATATATGACTTCACAAGCAATTTGAGATGATAGCTATGTGTTCATGTTTATTCACTAGTTTTTCTTCCTTTTCAGTTGAATAAAGAAATCCAACCCAGCAGTGACGGTCCCTTCTAAAATGTACAGTTCGATGGGGAGAACAACACTGGTGGGTTTGTCTATGCACAAACGTAGCTTGGCCTTCTAATACTACTTTTTTTTTGAAAATACGATGCAAAAATCAACTGGAAAAATGTCAGATAAAATCTTGTATTTTTCTTTTTAAAAAAAAACACAACTAAGTGGTATTAAAAACACTGTAAAAGGAAATAATGCAATTTTTATATAAAGGGGAGAGGAAATTTTAAACTGTGGACATCTAAGTTCTGTCATTCCTAGTCTGAAACAATTTAGTGAATTAAAAATTGTATTTTGCTAGAAGCTAAAACATGAACTTTAAGTCATACAGCAAATTTCTTTCCTGTGTGACTTCAGAAACCAAATCTCAACACCTGAGATTATGATGACAATGTGCATAAACACGGAACTTCAAATTATAGTGACATATAGCACAATAAAATCTGTGCACAGTGACTGAGAACTAGGCATAAAGAGAATTTATTCTAAGGAGAAGTTTCAGTCCCTTTCAAACAGCGTTATATTGCTAAATTACAGCAGGCAAGCAATAAATTCATGGCTGTATCCTCTTACTCTGTTTAAAAGGAGCACTGTATTTCCCTAGGCAGCATAGGCAGAGAGTTGCAAACACGCTATTTGGTATGCTTACCAGCTAGCAGATCACGTCTCTCTGAAGCCAAAGAATTAAGCTATATAAATCTTCCTTAGTGTTTTCTCTTCAAGTCTTATTTTGCTGCTGCATAAATAAGGGAACATACTTTCTAGGCTTTCTTCATCACCTAACATACCAGTGTAGCATATGGTAGGCTTTATCTTGCATGTCTTGGAGAAATTGAAGTTCCGTGATAAGAAGGGATTTGACATAGTTTTAATCTCAGTAGTGCCTGACAATACCTTTCAAAAGCAAAAAAACTTGGAGGTAGTACTTAATAGTCTAGAGAGTAATAGATTTTTGAAAATATCCGTGATTTGATCTGGGAATTTTATTATACTATCAGATTACCAGTTCTAATTAACAGCAATTTAGAGAACTATTTTTTCAAAGGGCAGCTGTCAAAATATCAGAAAATGGTAGGGCATGCACATATTGCTGGGTTCACACTTTAGTCGTTTTTCAATTTCACAAAAAATATACTGTGTCACAGTCAAAAGACAAAAAATGTGGGCCCAGATGGCCTTGTATTTCATTTTGTACAGCAGAGGCTTTTTACAAGGTGAGAAATTCTTACTATGACATGGACCAAACAATCAAAAAACCCCAACCCCTGTGAGGAAGTGTTTAGAGAATTTTTTTGCAGAAAATCCATGCACATGACTTAGGACCCAGAAGAGGACAAACCACGTTTATTATTTGCTTGCATGCAATATAAAGAAATCAATTTCCAGAAAGGTGTTCTTAGCACTGCATCCACAGGGGGTTTATTTCCCACATCCTTCTGAGCTTCTTAAACGATAAACAAAATAATTTTGTAATAATTCTAATTGCATGACTTTTTAGAAAATCACCCCTTATTTTTTTTCCTCCATTTTGGGTATGGAAAAGAGTTACACTATAATAATGGTTAGGTCTTTCCAATGCTGGTTTCAATAAAGGTTTAACTGTATGTTGAAAAAAACAAACACCAACACCACCACCCTCAAAACAGTGGAATCAAGGATACCCGACTGCCACTAATTAGTTATTTAAACAGCTTTACCAAATTCAGTTGCCAATCTCATAGGCCACAGAGAGTAAGATATTTAACAAAAATAGCAAGCTTATACTGTGTAATTACGTCTGAATTCAGACACAGGAATGTTTCTAAAGCGTGCATAGGCTGAGGTGTGCTTGAGTGAGCATTAATCTTCAGAGGAAGCAATTTCTCACCTTTGCTATGATATGACAGCAGATCTAAATAGAAAACCTACATAATTTTGATATCTTACACAAGGAGACAGCTGAACCCCTAGAAGCAACAGAGATAGCAAGAAGAGACAGGGATACGTTGAATTATCTAAGATATGGGGCTTCTTGCCTCTGGGAAAGGTTAGAGTTTTAGAAAGATACTGCAGGGTGGTGGGGAGGGTGAGGAAATAAATAAAGTCAAGACTATCACAAACTTGGGAACAAACCTGAAAATCATAGAACTATCTTATTTTGGAAGCATTTCAAAATTAAGAAATTATGGTAAGATACAACCATTGCAGATAAAATGGTTATTCAAAAAGCTATTATTTGTTGCTCCTTTGCTACATACTTTGGGAAGTTCTTTGAATATACTGATGAAAAATATTGTATCAGAACTGTGTAATTTTTTTTGCACAGATAATTTTCCCAATTATCATAATTCATGTTACATAGAGTATACATTCTTCCAGAGAGGGTGACAGACAACAAGTCTAAGCACCTTGGAGAGCTGATAACTGCAGCAGCTTTGGTATTTTTGTATAGTTAAATAGAAAGATAACTTGGGAGTGATCTCTGGTCAGAAGGATAGGTGTTATAGAGCGGCACATGTCTGCAATACTCAGGGCTGGCCCCATTCACAATATGCAGCAGGTCTCTTCTGGAACTGTTATGTCCCTGGCCGCAGCATATCATTATCCTTTTTGTATTTTTGAAACCGTGTAAAGGCTGGTTTGCAGGTCACCAGAGCAAAACTATTTCACGCTGTTTGTAACACAGTGTGAAACAGGACAGTTGTTACATGACCCTAAGTAGTGCGGCATCAGTGTAGACGGGGAAGTTTGATGGTGAAAATCTTTTTAAGAATGATGAACCTCAAAGGCCAGAAAGTGCCAAACCTGATATGAACTAGTCTGTGCTGCCTTTGGGGAATAATCCTTAGAGCAATTCTTAATCCTACACTCAACCTTTTTGCATGATCCAGATGCCAGTGCTGAAGTTTGCTCCCTGGCCACCTTTCTCTTGGAAGAGAAAGATCTTGGGTTTGAGTTACTAACAGTGGAGGCATCAGTGCCAATAGCAATACTAAGACACTGTTACCTCTGCCGACACTTAATCAGCTGGTAGCACTTTGCTGATGGTATCAAAACCAGAACTGCTACTGATATCAGCATCAATGTCAGTGCTATTTTTGGATTGACCTGCATCTCTTATGGCCAGATGGAGGCAGAATTGAGCATCCTTACCTCTGGGTTGATAAGCTCTGTTCCTTAAGAGCAGAAATTCAGCTGTCTTCTTAGAGGATAAAAGGGAAAGGCTGGCAACCATGCCTATTTCACTGTCCAGCCCTGCTTGATCTTAGAGGATTTCACTGCCAGAACTAAAGCTTATACCAAAGCTGTCCACCATCTTTTTTCTTCACTGGAGGTAAAAATACTTCTGCCAAAGAGATTCTAGCATGTGCACTAGCTAAAGGTGAGTCATGATGGAAAGTGTTTATCACACTTGGGATCCGAAATTCCTTACAGTTATTCTGTGATGAGCTGTTAGTTTCAGTGTCTCTAGATTTCCATATTCTTTCTGCGAAGTGACAGATAAAATCATGGTCTGACACATGATTCTGAGGCAATTTTTAACAGAACTTAAGACCAGTGCAGAATGAATATTAAAACCTGTGTGTTTTGAGACTAGTATTTTGGCATAACCAAAACCATAGAACAAGAAGGCAGTTAGGTGGGAGGTGAGTCTGAAGAATTAAAAGGAAGTAACTCTTAGCTGGCTATTTCACTCCCAACTGAGGTATCATCTGGTAGGAGCCACAGATGGATATTACTTATCCTGTCTTTCTGGCACAGATGGTTAAAGACTGCTGGTACAGTTGGTCATATCTGCTTTGCGTCAGGACAGCGTAGCTATTTGCACAGGCCTGCTATAGCAACGTAGGAAGGCACAGTATTTCCTATATTACAGCTAACCCTCTGTAGCTCAACTCAGCTGCTGCTTCTGCAGCACATCCCGGTCTCTCTGTTCCATCACACACACCGTGCTGTCGACCTGGGAGGCTACTGCTGCACCACCTACTTGGGGCTGCTACACGGACTCTGGAATGGGCCATGACAAAAATCTGTTTGGAGAATTTTCTGTTCTTCTGTGTCTGTGTGTGGTTGTATTTGTTTTTCTAACTTTGATTCTGAAAAAAAAGTGCCTTGCTTTATATTCAGGCCAATGCAGCTTTTTCCTGTGCCCTGTTATCTAAGAGCATAGTACATGCAATGAAAATAGTCAAAATTTCAAACTATAAGCAGGAACAAATGCACTTAGAAGGAGTACTTCAGAATATTTACTTAGCCATAAAAATAGTTTAGAAGTACGTCCATTTTCTTACGTTAACATTTAGTTATAACCATAACAAAACTTAGAAACAGCTTCCATTCTACTCAACATATTGGAAAGGAAGAATTGGTTTTTTTTCCCCTCAGGGTGACTACATCTACAATCATACTATGTAAGGGAAGAAGAAAAGGAACAGACACGTACTGTGAAAAGCGCACACATTCGATCTATCTTCTCTGGATTCCTGGGGCCTCCATTCTTGTTTAATCTCACCATAAACCTCTCACTAAAAAGCAAACAATATTAAAAAAAATAAACAAGAGTTTCATGTACACACTTCAACATAAAAATACAGGTAGGTATGTTTGGGGTTTTTTTTTTTTTAAAAGATGCACTAGGTATTATAATTTTTTTAATTTGCCAAAGCATATGAAGCGGTATTCACTGATCTAGATAAAATTACATGGAACAGGATAGAAGACTTAATAGCAAGTACTCTGCATACAAAAACATCATGTTGATTCATATTCATGATGCAATAACATTAAAATAATGTGAATATATGAAGCACAGGATTTGAACACATTACAAGTACTTCAGGCAAAGGCTAAGGCACGCTTGCTGAAGCGTATACTGCCTTTGGTAAAACTCAGCTCATTAAAATTGACTCAAAACTAAAAGTAACAAGAATACAAATTAAGCAAGCTCCTTCAACGTATGCTATTTATAAAAGAAATTTACTAATTCAAACACATTAAGATTAAATTGATAGAACTGCTTATCAATCAAATTAAACAGTCCTTTTACCAGCAAAACCAGTGTGTATAGCCAGACTGCAAAATAAATAATCCTTACTATGGATGGTAAACCATGGACATTGATATTATTTCTTAAGACAGACAGAGAATTTATGTATACAAATAAATTAGCTGAGTAAGAGTAATTTATTCACTAGATGTCCAACAACACACTAAGTATTCACCAGAATTTTCTTCCTACAGATTCACAGAAATAAAGCAAGAGCACACCATTAAATCTGCTAGTTACATTTCCATTATATCACAGATCCTTTCAATTTTATCCAGTATGACTGTATCAACTTCAGTAACCTTTATTTGACTGAAACACATTTTCCAGCATATTATCCACTGTTGGCCTGAAAAATATGAAAACGTAGACTACGTACTACTTCCTTTGCCAGCTTGCTCCAAAAGGCTATTCAACCCTAGTGTTAAAATGCATGGGTTAACATCAGCTTGGGAATGTCTGGTTTCAGTGTTTAGGCACTGCTTTTTGTTACACTTTGTTCTGTACATTAAAGAGCCCTTTAGAAAAGCTGATTTCTTACAGGGTAGTGATATCAGTCATTAATTGTAATATGTAATCAAATATATCTCCAAACAAGAAAGGAATTTAATGCTGTTAAGAAATTCAAGAAAAAGTGCTGGAATCATTTTATAGAACTTACCCATAGTGCAATTTTTCAACACCATTTCATGAACAGTTCTAAAAATGTAAGTTTGTAACAGTCTAGTACTGGTACCACCTACACCATAAATACAAATACACACATAAGTGTATTTCACCCATATGAAATCAAGGCCCTAATAATCCTAACTGTAATTTATCAAACATCATATATTAGCCTTTTTACCACAGCATTATGCTCTGAGTTCGTTTGAAGCAACCTGTCCATTATAAATACTGATATATTTTCAGAATGGCTACTTTTTTCAGAATGGTCCCTAATTCTGTAAGCATGACTCATACATCTTGTTACACACCTTTGCATGTTTATTTGCCTAAGTTTATCTTGCTAAGCAATCCAGATCATGCTCTCTGGCTGTTTCACTCTCCCTGTTACTCACTATTATTCCAATCTCCACGTATCCCACAACCTCATTCAGTAATAATTGTAATTAATTTGCAGCATATGCTTATAAGCTCAGAGATAGCTAACATGCCCCAAAGAAACCCACAAGAAACAGATATTTGATGATTCTTTACCTAGAACTACTTTCCGAGATGTCAATTAGTAAGTTAAGAATGTTTTAGCAAACGCTTTAATGACATGGTATAATCTAATCTTTTAGTAAGAATTTTATGATGTATTAAGTGGAGTGCAGTACACTATTACAACTTCAGCACATTACAGGAACAGTTACATTACAATATTACATCTTCATATTTACCTCTATCTACCTAACAGATAAATAAAAAAAAAAAAATCAGAATTTTCAAAATAAGACCTATTTTCAATAAAAACACATTAATTACATTCTTAACCTTTATCATTAACTCAGTCTTGTGCCCATTGCTTTGCTGATAACTAATTAAGGTTGTGAACACACATAGTAGCAAGCAATTCAAGCAGGATGGCCAAAGTGGTTGCTTCTGCCAGCTGTTTGCCTCAGTCCTGTGCTGCTCCTGCGAAAGGGCCACACAAACAGGACCTCCAGCACTACCTGAGCAATTACACTGCAGAACTCTAAATATTAACACAAACTGAAATAGATGTTAGTTTAGCGGCAGTTACAGTTGTTGGCATTCAGCTGTCCCTACTCAATGAACTTCCAAAGAGGAGCAGGCAGGACAGTTACAGTGATGCCCCCAGGTAAGCTCTGGCTAATACAGGGAATAAACCAGAAGATAAATATTATACCATCAATTTCCAAACAGGACTCATGCTTTATATCATTAAGAATATGTAGTAATTTAAAGAGATATCAACTCATAGCCATGTTCTTTACAAGCCGCAGCAATAAACGTCAGTATTTCCAATGCCGTCAAAAACACTGCTTAGGGAGACTTTAATCTTAATAAAACCATTTAATTTTAACCCTTGAATCAGTTTAACTGTAAAATCTTTCATTTAGAAAGATTAGGAGGTAACATACATTTCACTTCTGTTACAAGTATAATTTGTAAAGCATGTCTCCTTCCACAGAGAAGTAAAATTCCTTAAAAAAAAAAAAACAAATAAACTATCATGAACTACAGAGCTACAAAAGTTACTTGCATAAAATAAACATTGGTCCTCTAAAACTGAACTTGAAACAGTGATAATTAAATGATTGTAATTTATTTGTTAAATGTAAATTTGCCAACACCCTCTATTAGTACACTGAAAAATACTTACTATGGCTTATGCCTATTAACCCTGTCCCATTTTTAAGGGTAAGAGCATAAAATGGATCAATACTACACAAACAAGATCTCTGGCAAACTATTCTTTCACTTCTGCTGCTGGGAATGTAATCCGTCCACCAAACAGGGGTGCAACAGATGAACACAAAGCTAATACATGCAGCCTAGGATCAGGAGCAACCAAGACAACAAGCAGCCTGCCAGTTGAAGATTAGGAGCAATATAAATCACGTCTGCAGAGGAAAATGTATTCACTGGTGAAGAAGCCCATCCAAAATCAAAGCTGGCTCACTCCTATTTGATTGCAAAAATCCCTGGAAGTTATTGTACCCTATATAACGAACACCTGGAATACCTTCACTTTCATTGCAGTGCAGTGGTCAGATCAAGGCTGGTTCTCTTAATTCAGAGGATGACTGATGTTCTGAAGGGAAAACAAACCACTAGCAGAGCACCAAGCTCTTCTGCGAGATGAAGAATGATTTACAGAAAGAGAAAAGAGAAATTTGAAAATGTACTTCCGACTATTTTCAAATTCTGGAATAAAAATACAGAAAATATATACTACTATCCAATATTATAGAAGGAGAAGGTGCTGGTCCACAGATAAACTGAGTTGAGGGCAAAAATAAGACAAATCATAACAACGGCCCTCCATATGAAAGGTCCATCTTACCCTACTCTCCTGCCTCCAACAATGTCCAGTAGTGGATAATCAGGGAAAAAATAGAAGAATAAAGAAAGCATACGGTAATACCCTGCTGATATGTACTATCAGCTTACACCAAAGTGAGGCTCGAGAACAGCAGCAGTATTTTTGAGTTTAATAGTCCTGGATATACTGAACCCAGGGAAGTATTCAGGCTGCCAAGCTTAAAAAATTCTCACTAGTCATTTACAGACTTACTATTAGAGAATGAGCTTTATTGTAATTTATAATATATGCATGTACCATACAAATGCATATATGCATTGTATAACATAACCTAAGAATCTAAGAATTAAAATTCATTAAATTGAAATTCTTCAAGAAATAATGTTATAACTGCTCTTTTACCTCCACTGATCTCAGAAATAACATTACATATTATATTTTAAATCTCCAGCAAGTTTTATATTTTTGAACTCCCCAACACAGGTTTTCTCTGAAAAATTATTTCAGCACTAATGAGCATTTCATTTTCATAACTGAAGTTGAATACAATACTGTATGCCACAGAATCCTGTGCAGGCTGTCCCTCTGACAATGGCAGAGAAGGGACTGTCAAGTCTTTGAGCTGTCTATTTATACTTGATTCATTACCAAAAGTTGTATTGCTCAGTCTGCTTTCAAAACATCCAAAGAGAGAGATTCTGGAGGCTCATTTGATAGTCTCTTGCAAGGTTTTACTCCATTAACAAGTGGTAATCTTTTAAAATTTGCAATTCGCCCTTTTTCTTGTTACAGCCACAGAGAAAATCTGGTTCCTGTCCCCATATTCCAGTGCTTTTCAAGAAATGAAGCAGACCACCGTCTTTTTCACCTGCCTATTCATCAACTGTTCCCTTATTTCCGCGCTACCTCCATAACAACCTTTCAATTCCTTCCTTTAATTTCCAATCCTCCCTGGAGTCCTCTTGAGCTTGTGTCACTAACTAATTAAGGGGACTTGGAGGCTACCGCAGCATTTGGGAACTGTGGAACATGAAGAGGCATTCTGTCAAAGGAGAGATCCACCGACAGGACAAGGAGAATGAAAAGACAGCAGTGCTAATAGGCAATCTTAAAAGACTAAAGCCACCTTGAGTTCTTCCACCCTTCCTTGCAGGTCATTTCTCCTAAACTTACAGTTTTGTTTCTCATCTCCAGAATTTCCCTAATCTTTGGTATTACTGTTCCAAGAATCGTTTACAGAAACGAGTCTAAATATTCCACTAAGGTCTTACCAGTGCTGATAATGTTAGCATATCCTGGAATGGGACTTGAACCTTTTTACACTGTTGACCCATATTATGAACTAGTTAGTCAGATGCTCCCCATTTTACAACTGTGAATTTATTTCTATGTCAAAGAAAACCAGGAAGAATAACCCCGTTTTCAATGATCTGAAGATCCACTGCCTTCAGCTATCATTATAGCTCCTTTTTTAGACAAAGATA